GTCATGTCACACCAATAACCTACATATGAATCATTCATACTATTATTACTCTGCAGTAATATGTAAGGCAATTATTGATTTCTGCACAGCTCCAAATTACATTTATTTATTCCCTCATTTGCATCTACACAGTTCTAATCAAAGGTTCAGAAGGAGCTTGTTCATCCAGTCCTGGGAACTCATTCACCAGCCTCAATTCTCATGTGTAGTAAAAAAAAAAATTAAATATGTACTCACAGACAGTCTCTGCGGGTGCATATCGTGCTGTAGAGAAAAAGATGTCGATTAGCAAATAGCAGTGTGCCATGTCAAACACTGAAAAACGCAAAATCATTCTTTAACCAAACAAGTGTATTATTTATCTTTACTAACAAAAGGCGTGTACAGTTTCAGATCAATATGTTCTGTGTGTGTAAAGGAAGTTGCAGAAAATGGTTGCATGCATGAACTCACCAAGTACTTTGCCCAAATTAAAATTCGCCTTGCTCTCCAATAGCTCAAATGCCAGGAACACAGCTAGAAACAAGATAGAAACCAGCACTGCCAGTTTCAAAAGTCCTGTAAACAAAAAAGTTCCATATTCTTGAGTTTATAAAGTCCATAGTAAATAGTTTTATATATTGCTACTTTTGATGAGAAACAAAGTCTCATCTTTAAAATTATGTCGATTTTTTTCAGGAAATTCAAACAATAAATGCCATTTTGACTCTGTGGCGCGACAAATTACTCAGTTCAAACATGATCATCCCTTCCTCTTTACTACTAGTTTTAACATGAAATAAACATGAATGAACATCTCATGCCTCATGTAATCGCTCAATCAGCGTTTCAACCGCGGAAAGACGGCAATAACACAGCTTGTAAACAAAATGTCATGTAGCGTTTAATTTACCTCAAGTCATTAGTGAACGCAGCTCATTAATTCGCTAGAGAAATTAAGTGCAGAGAAGAGCATTTGACGAAATATTAGATTATACTCATTATATTTTACTTTATCCGTTAATGATGTCTTCATTATTTAATGTTTAAATAAATCTGTTATGAAACAAGTTATGACAGCCACTGTGTAAATGATTATATTTCAACAATAGAAATTGTATAATTTAGAAGTTAATTTAAAAACTGCATTATGTGAACTTTACATGTTTGCATACAATATTTTAATTTGAGTGTTTATTATTATATTAAAATAAATAGTAATTGAATTTAAGTTTGGGCTCTGTAGTTAATTGTAACCTTATAGTAATGTAAAAGGGCCCCCTATAGTATAGATCATAATTTGAGGTAGATTTTTATCCCTTTGAAAATTTTAATTGTAATTAAATTTATTTAAAGAAAGAGCCATTTGTTCAATAAACCACTGTTTAATATAAAAAAGCAATTTTATGTTTAGTTTGTCCCCCTGCTGTACCGAAACCGTACCGAACGGTGACATCGAAACCGAGGTAGTACCGAACCGTCATGTTTGTGTACCGGTGTTGTGCCCAATTCTGTGTGGCACAACCGAACTGTGACATCAAAACCGAGGTAGTACCCCCCAAAATTGGGCACAACACCTTTACACCACTAATTTAAACTATTTTGTTCACTATATATAATGTAACACTATACAATTGTTAGGTTTTCTGCAATTATTCAATGTCTTAAGGCAAAACTTTTTTTGCACTGCTATTAAACAGACATTACCACAACATATTGTCAATGACAAAAGAGCAAATATTTGCCTTCGGTTACATGAAATATATACTTCAGCAGAGTTTAGACTGAAAGAAACGGAACAAACCTCCTGCTCGCATCATCCTGGCGGTTTTGCAAGCAGCAGTCACCACACTGAGATCCAGACACCTGATATGAGATTAAATATCATCATGTTACAAAAGCCTGAATTCCTAAATATTCCTAATACAATACTTATATTACCTACAGGAATTTACTCAAGATAATCAGATGATTGTGAAAAGTCACACAGCAAAACAATGGCCAGGCTGACTGACTAACCTATATTTGGCTGATTCAGAATGAGATAAATAATTAACATTTCCGATCCTCATCCATTTGCTTTATTATATATTCTGAGTAACTTGATTATCCTTTCAGCTAAGCAAATATTTATTTTTTACTACTTTCAGCTCTGTTAAATAAACATATTTTACGTTTAACTCAACATCACAGAATTCTATAAGGTATTCAATTGTTTATGAATAAAAGTGCATTAAATTGTTTATGAACGATTTCTGTTTTCAACTATTTCATACGCCGGTTTAACACAAACCAACATATAAGTTTTACATTTATATACCTGTATCAGTCTTCACCTGTCAGAATGTCTGAAAATGACTGAGCCAATAAAATATTCAACAAAATGCTCAAGATCTAACATGTAAAACAAACACATAGATCCTGAAAACCTCTAATTATGCCTGAAAAAGATGCCAGACGCGAATTAAACGGTTGTAGTGTTAAGTTTAGGTGTTAGATGACAGCAGAAAAAGTGATAGTAGCCGTTAGCATAAGGTGAATATGCAAACAAAACACGGTAACAAACTTTGAAATAGATATATAATATGAAGTCAAGAACATAATGTAACCCAGCGAATATATTTTTAGACTGTGATTGACTAAAGAAGAGAATAGAAGGAAGTACCTGGTGACACGGCGACACAGCGCTGACTATCCCGACATCCGGGGTTCGCTATAGAGGAGGAGCCGCAGCGTGCGTTTGTGCAGATGTGTACGACTGTTTTAGGACGACACGCCCGTGTGGGGGCGTCTATATATGTCCTATATATTATCATACCCAATTCTTCACAAGGCCAAAGAAGTGACATTTAACATCTTAAACGACATTTATCCATCCAATTGCTTTTTACATGAGAGATTTAATTGGGAAAATAATTCATGTGGATTTTGTGAGAAAGACATTGAAACAGTAGAACATATTTTCTTTCAGTGTGAATTTGTATATGAATTTTGGCTTTCATTTCAAAGTTGGATACAATCTAAAGATATATGCTGCATCCTTTGAATGTGACCTCAATTAAAGTTGGAGTGTTTATAAATGATAAAAATTTAGAATTTTTAATAAATAACCTGATTGTGTTAGGCAAACACTTTATCCACAGATGTAAGTATTTAAAGGTTAAACCCCATTTCACTGGATTGAAGAATGATTTGAAGTTATTTGCAAAATCCCTTCAATGGATGATGGACAGAAATGCCTTGAAACTTCTTTCTGCTTTGGACTTATACATGTTATTAGATTAAGACCCTCACCCCCTTTTTATTTTTTATTTTTATTTATGTATTTTTTTTTCTCTGTATTGTTTTGTTTTTCTTTAAATGCTGTTTCAACACGGAAAGAAAACTGATTTATGATTGTTAAAATAAGCCTTAAGTGTTTGTATTCTAATAATGTTTAAAACATTAAAAAAAAAATTAAATTAAAAAAAAAATATATATATGTCCTATATGGCGCCCGCCCACACTGCAACTAGTCATACTAGTTCTAGCCTACTTAGTTCAAACAGATGACAATTTGGAACGTTGGAAAGAACAGAATATTGTTATTTTTTAAGTCGTTTGGGTTAAACTAAACTATGTTTAAATAGGAAATTATAGATATTTAGTTTATACTATATACTATAATATATACATAGGCAATAGTCTGAAAAACACTCATTATATTTAGGCAACGCAATTCAAAGGCAATAGTATAGGCTACATACTTTATATATAATGTAATTAATTTGTTTTGTTATTGCTGTTTTATTTATTTTTTCCTATGCCCTGTATTGCTTAAATATTCTTGAATCTTGAGTGAGATGGGTGTTTTAGTGAAGATGTGTGAGAGTATGATTCATGTTGGTGTGTTGTGTGGTATGTAGTATATGTGTGAGAGTGTGTGTTAGTGAGGAGGTGTGAGGTGAGTGTATGCTCGTGTGAGGTGTGTGGTTTGTTTGTTTTCCAAGACAGACAACTGTTTGGTGTCTTTCTCGTTTGACATTTGTCTGTAGTGGTATTGTATAGTGGTATTGCGGTTGAGCAATTTTCTGCAAA